TGGATCATGGTTTCCAAGTTAAATCACAATTTCAAGGTGAGAAAGACATACTTGAATTTCTAAATATCCTGTTTCTATTGCATTCGAGAAATTTTAGGGATATGGGTCTACTTAGCCGGGCTTGTTCTTTTAGAGTTTAACTTGAGTATAATTTTTGAGTTGAATTTGAGTTATAACTTAAGTTGAACTTGTAACTTGAGTTTGTGTTTGGTTGTGTACATTTGAGTTATAGTTTAAGATAAGAATCTTTTTGAGTTTGTGTTTGAGTGAGTCAAAACTTAAATTTGTATTTAGATAGTATTTTAATAAAAACTCAATGCTGATGAAAAATTTTAATAGGGTATATGAGTCCGGTTTTATTCGTCTTTTCATTGTCAACGTATAGAAAAAAAATCATCTCTATCAGCATTAAAACGAAAAAATTATAGCATTTTTAAGAATATAAAAAATATTGTTCATTAATTTGAGTTCGAGTTTCTGAACTCAAGTTGAAGGGAAAACTTGAACTCGAGTTTTAGTCCTAAACTCGAGTTTAAACTCAAATTTAAACTTAAAAGAATATGAACTCAAATAAAATTGTAACTCAAGTTGTCTTTTTGTGAGTTTTTCACTCAAAAGAACAAGTCCGTTTCTCAGGCCAACTTGCATCAATTTCTCTTGACATCAATATGTCAATTTGAGTACAATGGACTCTTTGAGAACTTTTCAAATTGCAAATTATATTTGGTATCAACTCCACTCAGAATATAACCCTCCGTTATTTTGACTGGAGAACTCATTTTAATGTTTTCATATTTCGGTCCGAGTTGCCATAAAGTAATTATCTTATCTTAATTAGCTTAAGAAAAAAAAAACTGAGAACTTATTGTATGTGATGCTCATGGATTTCACCACTATATATGAGGTTTTTTTTTCTTTTTGCTTTTTTTTGTTAGCATTACTTCTAAGGGAAGGATTACCGCATTTTAATACTTGTTTAGGAAACGTAATTAAGTTCATGATTCTATAAACGTGTTTGGAATTTGTTTTAAAATGATTTTATTTTTTGTATGAAAATAAAAATGAAAACGTTTTCAATCTCATATAGAAATTATTTTTAAAAATGCGTTTGGTAATTCTATCAAGAGATTGTTTTCAGTATAAAAAACACATTAATGTCTCTTTGTCTCTCTATGCTCGAGAGAGGAGAAAACAAAAATAAAAAATAAAAAACAACTAAAAGTCATTTTTCATTTCTCACATTTTACATTAAACCAAAAATCTATTTTTATTTTTATTTTTTTATCTTTATTGCGCCAAACGCTGTTTTAAAAACGTTTTATTTTTTTTTCTCGAAAAACGTAAAAAATAAAAATAGAATCAATTCTAAACATGATCTGTATTTTGGTGTTTACTTTAGTTGTTAGGAATTAAATCAAGTGGAACCAGCCCGTAATCAAGTGGAGTTAAGTTCCTTGATGAATAAGTTCCTTTTCTTTACGAAAAGGAAGTGACGACATTTTATCCTAAATTTACCCCTTTTTATTTAATTATTTCTTTCATACTAGCTTATTCTTGTAACCACATTGGTTATTATTCCAATTCCTTTATGTAATAATGACAGAGAATAGAAATTTAAATAAAATGGAATTTAAGTCACGTTTATTTTACCGATTTGAGTTTAGAATTCAAGTTGTGTTACAGTAAAAAACTCTCAGAAACAGTCACATCTAATTTTTTTATTACAGTAAAAAATTCTTACATAAAATCACGTCTCAACTCAAATTAACAAATTAAACGGCCTTTAATTTCCCATAATTTAATAAACACCTAAATAAAATTTAAATAATGTTTGAGACATCAATTTAAAAACTAACTTTTGAGTACCGACTTACTTGACATTTGATGTGTCACGCCCCCTCATATGCCAACTCATCACTTTAAATTTTACATTTATTTTGCTAATAAGCCCCCAAGCCTGATATGGCTTTTCAAATCTAAAATTAATTAATTTTATCTTCTAATGACCTTTCAATTCTACCTAAGTCTCTCCAATATCACGGAATGTCTTTTGAGAGATTGTTTCCACAAAAGCTTTCCGGCAGCAAAAAAAAAAAAAAAAAAAAAAAAAAAAAAAAAAACAAACAAACAAACATACAAAAACAAACAATCGTAGAAGAACCAGTAAAAGGAAGTACATGATAGCCTTCTTTTTTTTAATGATCAGTTTTGTGATCAGTGGTAATTCTTATTTTTTATGAGATAAAAAATTGTCTATCCTCTCTGTTCTGATTGCTGTGGAGGTGCTAAATGGACGGATAGATTTGCCCTGAGTGGTAGTGCCAATGTCTGGTTAATAGTATTTTGTCCGCTGAGAATACTTTTAATTTTCTTCTCTTCAAGTGGAATCCTAGATCCATTAATGAGTGTGACAATTACTGTATGAGTGGGCTTGTAGTTCAACGAATTCCACATTTTTTCCCTACCAAGAAGCAACCCCTGATGTAGTTGTAATACAAGTTCTTATTCCAAAGCAAAAATAAGTAAATAAATAACAAAGAATGAACGAACGAACAATATGTCAAAAAGAAAACAATGGTGTTCGTGGGAATAAGAACCAAAAAAAAAAAAAAACAAACCCAAAATTTTTAGTTTCAGAAAACCCAAATCCAAAAACAAGACAAAAAAAAAATTAAAAAAAAAATCATAATTTGAGCAAGATTCGTTGGATTTTTTCCCCTCATAGAAGATGAAGTGTTGCAGGTTTTTCATTAATGATGGAACAATAAAAAAACCCAAATCCAAAAACAAAACAAACCGACAAAAAAATCAAAATTTGCAGAAGAACGATGAATTTTTCATCATCGTGGGGCAACCTGAAAGAGCAAGATTTGCTGGATTTTTTTTTTTTTCTTCATAGAAGATGAAGTGCTGTAAGTTTTTCATTGATGGCGGAACTACAAAGGTGGAAGACGAGAAAAAAAACGAGGAGGGAAGAGAGAGAAAGGCAAGTCAGCAGCATTAAAGAGGAGAGAGAAAATTTGTGTGAATAGAAAAAGATAAAAGTAGAAGGGGTATATTAGTAAAATAAATGTTAAATTTAAAGTGGTGAGTTGCATATGCGGTGATATGACAGGTTACAGTCACTTTTATTTTATTAATTTAAATTTAAATTTTAAATTTTATAATAATAAAAAACTCTTAAAAATATAATTATATTTAATTTTTTTACTATAATAAAAAACTCTCACTGAACATATCATATTTTGGTACTTAAAAGTTAATTTTAAGTTAGTTTTTTTTAAATTGAAAAAAAAAATTAATAATATAATTTGGTACATTCGCCCCAAGCTAGCTAAACAAAAACAACATACAAATTCTTGATTGAGAGACATTATTCACAGCTCCTGCACAACTTATGATCAATTAGTTGCTTGAACTATCTACCGACTTTGTCACATCTTTTAGTCAATAGTAATCAATTTTTATCTTTCTTTCGTTAATTCATTTGGCAAGAAAGATTACTTCAGCAAGGTATAGTAATTCAGCCAAGTTTTTACGCTTCTAAAATTTAACACTTCATTATGTCGTCAAGAACCAAAGTAGAGCCTCTAAATAAAAATAAATAAATAAAATTAAGATTAAAATTAAAAATTTTAAAATTTAAATTTAAAAAATAGACCCGTCAAAGTGATGTTGCAGTTATTGCTTACTTTTTCTCCAAAATGATTTCCTTTAACCTTTTTTTTTTTTTTTGAAAAATCACCGTTTTACAAGCTACAAGGAGCCATTTATTTACCTTTTTTTTTCTTTCTTCAAAGATTCATTAACTCGTAATTATGAAAAACTTACCAATTTATAGCTACTAGCACTGCAAAACAACCCATTTAGTTTTTTTGCTTTTCATCTTTAATTCGTAGTCATTTTAGGGAGGGCCTCAAAAGGCTTGGTTCTCCTATGCCGTATGCCAAGGGGGTTTGCATGACAACGACCATTAGAGCTTAACTTAGAAAAGTTCAAAGTCTTTAATTACCCTTTCCTTTTCTCACAACTTTGGGAGCCAGATCAGCTAACTTGAAGTAAAGTGGTTGAGTATTAATTATAAATGGAAAAACAAGATTCAATTATTGGATAAGAACATTAATTTTTTTTTTTTTTTAAAAATGACAGTTTTGAATAGGGCCGGTAATATGGGTCACGACACAACTCGAAACGGACACGAATTTTGTGGGTTAGGGTTGAGAAAAAAGATGTTCGGATCAGAATCGGGTCGACCTGAAATTGACACGAAAAATACGGATCAATTTCGGGTTGGACCTGCCTAACCCGAACACGACACGAAACATGTAAAAAACTAAAAAATACATATATTTTTCATTTCATATTTTAAATTTTATTATGAACTTGGGATATCATGATAGTTATACTCAAAATCTTATACTATTATTTGCTTAATTTCAATGGATGTTATTGTAATTTAGTGTGTTATGAATTTTAAGTTATTTCTAATATGTAAAAAACTAAATAAAAGTATACAATTTTCGTGTCAATTTCAAATTCACGGGTCAATTTCGTGTCACGGATCATTTTCGGGTCATGTCGTGTCAACTCGTAAAGTGGTCGTGTCGTGTTCGTGTTGCGGTTTTTAAAAAAAATTCGTGTTACGGGTCGTGTTCGGATTGACTATAAATTTAAAAAAAAAAACGATCAAAACATGACACAAACACGACAAGTGACACAAATTATCATCCTTAATTTTGAGCTTACCTTATTATAGCAAAGTTCAGCAACTCATACCACCAACAAAAAAAAACAAAAAAAACAAAACAAAAAAACACTAGTGCTTTCCCCTTGTAGCAAATAGTCAAGAAAGATTGCTGATGACTAATGTCAAACTTCATAGAGATTTCAGACTAAAGAAGATGCCAGGAACTTCCAAAAACTTTCCCCGGAATGATGATAAGACAATTGTATTTGACCGTGATTATCGCATAATAAATTCGAACGGCTTAGCTGTCAAATGCACATCTTTCATAAGTCTCAACTTCTCTCTCTGATCAACGAACTTTAAGAAAAATGGATGAAGAATACATTTACTGAAACAACAAAAGAAGAACCATGTCCTGCTTATTTCATATGCTTTGTGTTGTTTATGGTGTTTTATCTATCAGAAGTAGTTTGGCTGCAATCACAGCAACAAACTCTTCATTTCCCAGAACCAGTTACACGTTCTATCTTGATTCAGGCCTTCCCTCAACATGGTACAACAACAATTCAGTGATCATGGACGGATGGAAGATGAGAGTTTTCCTCTTGATACAAGGCTCCAGTCGCAACGTTGGATTCTACTGCGGATTTTATTCCGAAGAAACCAGCGATTTGTTCTCGTTCTCGATCGTCGCCATTGGAGGCGGAAGCCAAAAGGGGCATGATGTGGTCTGGTCAACAAAGTGGGACTATGGTGTGAGAGAGAATGCATCTCTGCAGCTGATTGAGGATGAAGGCTTAGTACTGAGAGACTCGGATGGAAATCGAGTATGGTCAGCTGATAATAAATCCGGTAAGCCCGTGGTGGGAATGAACCTTACTGAAGCAGGGAATTTGGTGCTCTTTGGCAATGAAGGAGCCGTAATTTGGCAGTCCTTTGACCACCCTTTGGACACATTGTTGATCGGTCAGAGGCTATACGAGGATCAAAAACTTGTCGCGAATCCGTCCAGGAGAAATAGTCCCTTCTTTGCCACATTACCATCAGCTGCTAGATTCTCTGCATTTTTCAACACTAGTGATGGTCAAACTCTGATGTATTATCAGTTGGCGCTGGACAGAAATTCGAGAAACCGGTCAGGACTACAATATGATGAGGCTGGAAAAAGGGGATTTGTTGTGAACTTGGGAAAATCTGAAGCATCAAAACCTCTTGACTATATTCTGTTTCTAAAACTGGGAACAGATGGGCGTTTGAGGACACACTGGTATGGTTCAGAGAGTGTTGAAGATAATAAGGACATGGTCACCCAAGAATGCGAGGCTTCGCCGAAAGGTTATCTTCTTAAAGAGGTTAGGGACATTAATTACTCCAACTCCAACAATGCAGATTCTGCAACTGTATCTATTAGAACAGTAAACGATTGCAAAATGGCTTGTTTGCAAAGTTGTTCATGCATAGCAGTTGTCTTCAGGTATGAGAATGATGTTTCTGATGGAAAATGTTATATGCCATCAGAGATATATTCGGTTAATAGCAACAACAACAACAACATAACAGATCAAGGCAAATTACAAGCATTCATCAAGGTACTAAATCCTGATGGGGCATCTACTTCTTTGCCTGAGGTTCCTCCGTCATCGTGGGTTGTGAGACATCAAAAAGCTTTAGCAGCAATACTATCTGCTGGAGGTTTCTCCATCATTCTCATAACTGTCCTTTGTATTGTGATGTTAAAGAAGAAGCGAAAGGAGGCAGATGGGGATGGATATCTCAAGCAAGTTCCTGGAATGCCCTTGCGGTTTTCGTATGAAGAATTGGAAATCGCAACGGAGAATTTTAAAGAAACACTTGGCTGTGGTGGTTTTGGATCAGTGTACAAAGGGGTGCTAGCAGATGGCACAAGAATTGCAGTGAAGCGGCTAAATAAGATGAGTCAAGGGATGAGGGAGTTCTTGGCAGAAGTTGAGACAATTGGAAGCCTTCACCACTTTAATCTTGTAAGGTTGGTTGGATTTTGTGAAGAAAAGTCGTGCAGGCTTGTAGTTTATGAGCATCTGATTAATGGGTCTTTAGACATTTGGATTTTCAATAGGGACAAAGCACATTATCTAGATTGGAAAACTAGAAAGAAGATTATACGGGACATAGCCAAAGGGCTAGCTTATCTTCATGAAGAATGCCGACAGAAGATAATACATCTAGATATAAAACCACACAACATTCTCTTGGATGAAAATTTCAATGCCAAAGTCTCCGACTTCGGTTTGTCGACACTGATTGATAGAGACGAGAGTCAAGTGTTGACAACATTGAGAGGAACTCCAGGATATCTTGCTCCAGAGTGGAAAGAGCTAAGAGTCACTGTGAAAGTTGATGTGTATAGTTTCGGGATTGTTCTTCTTGAAATTGTTTGCAAAAGGAGAAATGTGGAAAGCTCAAGATCAGACTCTAGCTTTCATTTGCTCAAATTGTTGCAGAAGAAGGCTGAAGATGACCAGCTCATCGACATTGTGGAAGATTTGGATGAAGACATGGAAAATAATAGGGAAGAAGTGGAGAGGATGATAAGGATTGGAGCTTGGTGTTTGCAGAACGATTATAACAGAAGGCCTTTTATGTCAACAGTTGTTAAGGTTTTGGAAGGAGTTATGGAGGTGGACCCTAATATCAGCTATGAGTTTTCTCATGCACTTCAGGCCTCTACTGCTGTTGTTGCAGATGATCATATTACCGTGGCACCACAAGATTCTATCCTTTCTGGTGCAAGATGAAAAGGTAAAACAAAAGGAAATATTCCCTCTTTCTTTTTTTTTCTCTTTTTGTTGGTTTGTTGATTTTATTATTTTTGGTTTTCAAAGTTTGTAATTCTACATTCGTTTGTGTAAGAACTTGTTAAATCAGTTTGTGAACATCCAAACTCATCTTCCATGAGTTCAAGGTGCCATCATTTTACTGTGACTATTTCATTAATAAGAAGTTGCACAAAGTTGTAACACGGTCCTCAGTTTGATTCCCACTTTGAAGTTGATACAAAAGCTTTTGTTTCAGACATGACGGGACTTAAATTTATAAACACTGTAGCTACTGATATATTCATAAAAATTTCGGATTTTATGTCAATTTCAACTATTTTGCTGGATAAGATCTGCTAGTATTGAAATGAAATCTTTTGTAATGTATATTTGTAATTCACTGCAATCAGAGTAGCATCCTCTATATTTCTCACTGCAGAATACAAGTCTGTGATGTTTCTCTCTCAGTTGAGAACACTATGCACATAACTGCAATTCTAAGACGAACAACGGCCATTCCTGATTCCTACACTTTTTTTTCGACCGGAAACTACAACTATTAGTTATGAACAAATGAAATTCAAACAGGACAAGTATAGAAAAAAATCTAAAACTTTGTACTCAGCACACTATACATACATGTATGCCTCAAGCCTATTTTTGATGTCATGTTCCCAATCCAAAAATAAAAAGGAAAAAAGAAAAAAGAAAAACCTACTTTCTGGATATTTCACTGGGAACTCATAGAATTCTTTTTAAGATGTCATCTGCGTGGACTCTGCAGCAAGGTATTCAAGCAAGTTTATCACTTGACTTGTGTCATCCAAGTAGTATCTTGCCTTGCTCGGCTTTTGTCCAACCGTGCAAGGAAAAACTGAAATATTAGGGGGAAGAATATTGTTTAATGTCGCATTACCAAATATCTCAAACATGTCCTCATCAGATCTATCATCACCGATACACAACACAAAGTCCGCCTTTCTCCCATTTTCAGCCATTGATGAAAAGATCCTTTGTGCAACATGCCCCTTACTAACTTCCTGAAAATAGAAATGGACAAATGGCAACAAATCAATTCTCCTAATTCTGCTCAATGTAGCTGCATAAAGGTATAACATGTATGCAACAAAGAAATGAAGAGGATAATTTTGTTGAAAGATAAAAGGCATAACATGAAAGAAAAGAAAATTGCACGTCATCAGGAATACCCGAAGAAAAACAAAAAAATAATAATAATAATAATTATTATTATTATTATTAGTGCGAAACATGATACAAATTCATTCAATTTGTGCTCAGTACATAGCCCTAAAAAGAAACATGATACCTGACAACTACTTACAATAGAAAATTCAGAAGTTGAGACTAAAGTTGCATATACCTGAGGTTTAACTTCTACAATGAATTGACCCCTCTTTACAGCAACTGGATCATTTGCTAATACACTCTCGAGATGATCTAGCATCTCCTTTGCTTGGCAGGATCCGAACCCACGGTCTGCATCCCCATATTGCCAAACCAGAGAACTTTCTTTAGCTTCAATGTAAGAGCCATCAGTGGCCTCTGTGTATTGTTTCATTACGGGTTCAGCAATCTTCATCCAACCAAATTCAGAGCTGAGACCACAGACGTCCCACTCCTCATTTTGGGGCCATCTAAAAGTTGCAGAGTTTACGTTAGAAAATATAGATGGAAATTAAGAAAGATGTTAGAAAATTTGGCGAGTACAAATAAAATAAAATAAAATAATTCTGCTCGTTTAGGCAGGCAGATAAGTTTAATTAGTGACAATGCAGGTCCAGTTGACTAAAATACCAATTGAAATGTCAACATTTTGATCTCTCCTCTGATTCCAAACAAGCAATAGAAAGCGACGACTTCGAAAAAACCAAGTTTAATATCCAGTAACTGAGATAATACAAATAGACATCCAAGAGAGAGAGAGAGAAGCACACCTTAAGAAGTATCCATGTTCTGCTGCAATTCCGAGCTTCGGACAGGGAGAGAACCACTTGTTTAAGCTCCCCTTCCCTCTACCACTAACAATGAAAACTGTATTTTTTTGGTCGGCACACAGTGTGTTCAGCATTGTGATAACCGCCTCACTTGGAGACTTGTTGATGCAGTTTTGAGGCATTACTGTACCATCATAGTCCAACAGTATAGCTCGCCTTTTTGTTTTACTGTAAGCTGATACAACATCATACATCGATAGCTTTCTGAAATTAGGATCAACTGCCACAACTCGAAATCCAAAGCTAAAACCAATCCCCCAACATCTTTTCTTGGAATGGTCTGCACAAGTTCTTTCCATGTCTTGCCAGAAACTGCGAGACCAATAAGCCACATCATGCGTGCTAATATACCGGTAATGCTTCTCATGCCTTAACTCTTGCTCTGAATCCCTCATCGAAATAGCCATAACCATTCCTTCAGCAGTAGCCTCAACATTCCACGGGTTGACGCGGATTGCCCCACTAAGGGATGGAGAGCACCCAATAAATTCTGATACCACTAACATGCTCTTCTTTGGACCACTGAAATCTGCAGAATAAGATATTCCCTGTCTGCAAACAATGTATTCATAAGGAGTAAGGTTCATTCCATCCCTCACAGCTGTCACTACGACACAATCTGCAATGCTGTAATATGCAACTCTTTCATTGATGGAAACTTCTCTGTCGATTATAAGTATTGGCTTATAGCCCGGTTGCCCAAATTCTTCATTGATCCTCTGGTAGTTCTCTTGTATTTCTTGTCGCGTTTCCTCTAAGTTCTTTATTCCTTTACCTCTGGCAGGGTTTAGAATCTGGACCAGCACAACATCTCCCCGCAAATGTGGACGTTGCTTCAGCATCTGTTCCACAGCAAGAAGTTTCAAATTTATACCTTTGAAAGTGTCAATATCATCTATACCTAATAACACTATTTTCCCTTCAAATTGTTGTTTAAGCTCCCTCAGCCTATGCTCCTCATGCACCACTTTCATCACTGACTGTATCCGACCCATATGTACCCCAACCGGCATAATCTTGATGCCAATATTTCTTCCATAATAATCCAATCCTAAATATCCCCTCTTTGACTGATAATCCAAACCCAACATCCTGCTGCAACAAGAAAGAAAATGACGAGCATAATCGAAAGTGTGGAAACCTATAATATCTGTGTTGAGCAAAGCCTTAAGTATCTCTTCACTAACAGGAAGAGTTCTATAGATCTCGGAAGAGGGAAATGGGCTGTGAAGGAAAAACCCCATCCTCACTTGGAGAAATCGTCTCCTCAAAAAGGTCGGTAGAACCATCAAATGGTAATCATGAATCCAGATATAATCTTCTTCTGGGTTTAAAACCTCAACTATTCTTTGGTAAAAGAACTTATTTGCTGAAACATAAGCTTCCCACAGAGGCCGGTCGAACCTGCCTCCTTGATCGGCTGAAAACGGCAGCATGTAATGGAGTAGTGGCCACAACTGCCTCTTGCAAAATCCATCATAGAATTTCTCCACAAGATCAGGTGGCAGAAAAGTAGGAACGCAATTGAAATCATCCAATAGCCTCTGTGACACATCATCTTGCTCCTCCAGATCAACATCAACATTTAATGACCCAACATAAAGAACCTCCACATCATTGGGGAATCCATCCTTAAGCTGCAAAACTAAAGCATCATCATTCAAACTGAAATCCCAACCTTTGTCATCCTCTCTTCTCTTTGCTTTCAGAGGAAGCTGATTCGCTACAAGAATAATCCGATCCGAGTGAACCGATAACGAGCTTTCTGAAGAAACACTCTGCAGCTGATCATCATCAAGCTCTGTTATACTCGCTGGTAGCGACATTGCCCTCGAAAGTCTATTCCTATTACCCTGATCAAGTGCAGGGAAATTCCCAGAAGCCAAATCTAGAAGATTTGAGTACGATTTCGACATCTTGTTTTTTCCCTCTCTGGAACGAATGCTCTTGAAATACACCTCCTTTTAATGGAAAACGGGAAGTTTATAAAATCTGCATATTTCAAAATTAGTTTTCAGTAAAAAGGAAGATGAAACTGCAAAAATAAAGAAAAGGAAAAAGAAGAAAAAACAGCACCACTATGAATTTTCTTTCTGAAACAAAAGAAAAGAACAAGAAATTATTCATCTTCTGAAATTTTTACAGTTCACATTGTCGAATCTTTCTACAATTCCACAGCTCTTAACAAAAACAGAACAAAACCATCACCAATGTATTACATTGAGATCACATTATATCAAGAATTCATAGATTACACCCAAAAAAAACAAAAACAAAAAAACTCATACATTGTACAATAACAACACGATAATCAAAATAATTGCAATCGAAGATCAAAATCAAAATGCGATTATGAAATGAAACTACATAAACAAGAAACTTAAACAAACCATGCCTAGATCCTTTAAACGAATGAATAAACCCTAAAAAGAGAAAAAGAACAATTTTTGAAGAACCCTGATATTGTGAAATGAAAGAAAAAAAAATGAACGACCTTTGCGTCCATTGTCTTCGCAAGTTACTTCTGAAGCCAAAATTATAGCGCAATTTCTTGATTCTTATTTACGCTATAAACGAGTCGACGAAAATCTAGGGTTTGTTTATCTACGAAATGTCAATCATGTATTGTATATAATGATTCTGGGAAATTCTGGACTATGAATATTCAGGGACTTATTTAAAAATATATATATATTAGGTAAATCTAATAAAATATTATTATTAATTTCGCTTGCATGTAAACGTGGTACAAAATCGTAGAGAATCACGTACTCTCACCTGGCAGTGACAAACTGCTTAAAGCAACCAATTAGAATTGAGAGTTTCCGTGGGAAACGTCGAGAACAACCAATAGAGGAGGGTGGGTGAGGGAATTATAATGTTACGTGGCGGTGATTATCGGAGCCTAATATAGAGCTGGATAAGGTTTGGGGAAGCTGACTTCGGAGAAGTGACAGCTGGCATCACGCGGCGACTTGACACGCGCAAGCCACGTGACTATGACATGGCGACACGTACGACACGGCCGTGGGACCCACGAGGGGAACGCCTCGTTTGTTGGAGACTTGGAGCGTACGGTGTGACCCATTGGAGGGAAGGATTTCTGTTGCGACCGGGAGGGCCAACATGGCCATGAATAATCTGGTTGCGACACGTGTCTCAAGGGGTGCTTTTTAATTGGTTAAGTTTTGGAGGAAAAACAAAGAACGTTGACGTCACGGTAAAGAAACCAGCCAAGTGGGGAACGCGCCTAAATGAATGACCAAAGCAAAATGGCGGGGAAAGAAAGGTATGAATAATAGTTTCCACTTTCTTCTCAAATGGAAAAAAAAAGAGGTAAAAATAAATGAATAAATAAATAAAACACGAGTTTTTTGTTTTTTTATAAATACCTTGGTGGGTTGCGGGAGAGAATGATAAGATTGTCTATAAATTGTCACATTTTAAGTGTTACCTGTAAGAATAAAAAATAAAAATAAAAAGAGCACAATGGCAGAGCCAACTCTCTATTTTAATTGGGACCTATAATTATTTTTTTATTTTAAGAAAGTAATCCATACTCTCCCTAATAGGGAGAATAGTTTCAAAGGCCCCCCACGTTTTGTGCCTTCAGTTTTTTTTTTTTTTACTCTTTTTACTTTTTTTTAATTTTTACTTTTCTTTCTTTTTTTTCTTATATTTTTTATATATTTTCAAATATATCTCCTTTATATACTTTTTTACGGTTATTTACAATATTTTTTTCTAATTATCATGTTAAATTAATTATTCTCAAATGTGTCCTTATATAAACATGTTTTGCTTGTGATCCTCATAAATTTTAACTTGGGTTGCGAAACATTTGGCAAAAGTTTTTTTTTTTTTTTGGTCTTTTGCTTCATACCTTTTTTTGCATTTTTGTCTTTATTTCTTTTAGCTTTTTTTCTTCCTCTTTTTTTAAGTAATTTGTATAACTATTGTTTTAAATGAGTTTGTGTGCGTTTTTGACTAATAATATAAAAAGTATGAAAGAAATATATCACAATATTTTTTCCACAACAAAATGATAAACTTGAATTGTGGTTCAAACTATGAACCAAACAGAGGCTAAAGATTGTTAATACTTTTGCCACAACAAAAATTTCCTTTATAAGTTTACTTTCAGTCTACCCTGCTAAAAAATTACAATTGCAATGCTTAGACATATATTTTTTCTAATGATCAATTTCGCCCCAACTTTTTACTTTTGAAACTCTTTAAAAAATCAAACTTAAAGTTTAAATAAATCAAAAATCAACTATACAATTAAAAATAACCAACATCAAGTATAAATACTAATTCGGCCAGTCTAGATAATAAAGATAAATAAGTAGATAGAAATCGAATCTCAGTTTACTTTTGGAATTTCAGTTCCTTTTGTAGGGAAACAAATCACAATATTTTGTACTATCGCTAATTTTTTTGTCAGTAATTTCATGCACTAGGCCATTTTAGTAATATTTTTATGATTATTTTTTCAGAAAGTGAATAAACGTAATTTGAAAGGAGATTAGACTAGGTCGTTTAATTTACTTCTTAATTAAACACTACAAAGATATTGAATGATCTCATTTCATTTTTCTTTCCATAAAAAACTTTTATTTTTCCCCATAACATTTCATTACAATTAAGAAAACTTCCCTTTAATTGGATTGATAGGCATATTTTCAATTCTTTTTAGGGAGAAAGAAAGAAATAGACCAAGACTTGAGATGAATTAAAATTAATAGGTCAATAGTTTACATAAGTTAATAAATATACCAAATTATTATTTTTGTTCATAACTTGTCTGGTTATGAACCATAACTTAACAAGTTATTGTCCATAAATCACGATTTTTATCCATAACTTGTCTGGCTATGAACCATAACTTAACAAGTTTGTCCATAACTTATCTGGTCATGAACCATAACTTGACAAGTTATGACCTATTAATTTCTATAACTAAAAGTTTGCCTATATACTTCCTTAAACTTTTTATATTGGTTTATTTTTTACTATTTCCGTTCTTTTTAACTATAATCTTTCTTTTGTGACATTATAATAGTAAGAAATTTTCTTTTATTACTTTTCAAGATCATTTTCCAATATCTCACTAAATTTTTGGAGAGTTATGGCTAGGGCACTTTTCTGTACGGCATCTCTTATCCATTCAAACCCTCCAACAATGGAGGTCCAATTCAAGAGGGACAAATCCGATGCATCCAATGCACTAAATAAATTAAAGTTAGCTAGTTCGTGAGCTGCTTTGTCCACATCTTGAGAATGATGACAACGACCACCACCAGTAATTGGTTCGTGAAATCATCCTACTCGGAACATATAATAAAACGCTCATAAAAGTAATTATTGTTGAATAAATTAAACTTAGCCAGTTTGTGGTACCTTATCCATATCTTGAGAACATAAAAGTACTTTATAACGCTCATAAAAGAACTTTTTGTGCAAGTAAAAGGCACAATGATACAATCTTCAATATGTGAGCCTACTCAAAAATCACCTTTCTTTTTTTTTTTTTTTTTTTGAAAATCTAAAAAAATTCTATTTGTATAGCGTTTAGTTTCTAATAGTATCAAACCTTCATAAGTGAACAGTACCGATCGTAAGCTACCTAATCACAAAAATCAAGCAACTTTGACTAATCAGCCGTCGACTAGAAATGTACACAAGGCGCAAGGACAAGTATCTCAACAGCTAGTCTGATGTTGTTAAATCTCTTCTTATGTATGTGTTTGTGATAGATATTGACATATAAACTACTAAACCAACGAATTTCACATGTTCAATATCAATTTTCAAAATAGATTCAGTTGCTCTAGTCTCAACTCTCAAGTCATAAATAACTAGAGGCTAATGGTAATATAAAAAAGAAAAAAAATGTCTGGAGAATGTCCTCTCATCGAATACACAAAGATCTACAGCCTATTTTCAATCTATGAGTTATCTAACCCCAATGCTCGTTTTATAATAGCAAAATAGATGAGTGAGGCATATATTAATTTAACTCTAAAAAAACTTCATATTGTGTAATATGTACTTCCCAATTTTCATACATAGTGATAATCAAACAATCAAGAAAAAGGGGTTTTTACGACGACAAAAAGTCGTCGCAAAAACCTGCATGTCGTCGCAAATAAAGTTTTTTACAACGACACGTCGTCGCAAATTGTCGTTGCAAATAAATTATTTGCGACGATATAGTGTCGTTGCAAATGTATTTGCGACGACAATCGTCGCTAATACGTGTCACAAATTTCTCGTGATATGATCCATCATTTTTGTGACGACATGTCAAATTGTCGTCGTAAATAATGTTATTTATTTTTTTTTGCAACGACAAGTCTAAAAAAGTCGTCGCAAAAAAACTGAAATTAATTTTTTTTTATAATTTTTAAAAAATGACAATTAATTAATTTTTAATATTTTTTAATTAAACATTATTATGTTACATATTGAATATAATTTATTAAGATACATTAAAAGTGAAATATAAATTAATATTAAAAACAGTAAATCTAAATAAATTTATAAAATATATTATGAATATTATATGAGTGCATATATAATGTTCAAAAAAATATAAAAGTCTAAATAAAGTGAAATATAAAAAGTACATATAACGGAACTAATCGTCTAAGTTTGCAGCATCGCCAGCATCTAAATCATCATCAGGACCGCCATCATCTGAAGGAGACAGAAGAGCATCTAGGTCAACTGGTTCTGGATGATCAATCGTAGGTAATTGGATGTTAGGTTGCAATTTAGCCACCAACTCTAACACCTTCACATGATTCTTATAAATCTTAACTTGTTCTCGGTACGATTTCTCTAAATAACAACTCATACGTGGGTCAGGTTGAGCCGATGATGTTGCGTCTGAGTATGAACCAGCAGATGAAGGAAAAGCCCCGAAGTAATGCTTTTGGGAGAGCGTCGGACCCACTCCTATCTTATGTCCTCTACACATGCCAAGAACTTGCTCCAAAACCTCATGCTCATCAAAGGCGGGTCTAGTTGAGCTTGAAGTAGACTGTGTTATCTGCGTTTGTCTCTCCTCCTCCAGGGTGTTCTACATAATAAGATATTATAATTGTTTATACGTGTTATAAAACCACTATTTCAGTATAAAAAAATTTAATATGAAAAATAAAAATACTTACAAAAGTCTGTTCCGCTTGGGGATTAACCCAAGAGGTCCCGTGACGATGCATGTCCGCCCAATTGTCTATGGCAGACATCGGCTCTTGGGTCTCCGTACTGACCTATCAAATAAATTACATTTGTTAAAATTCTTAAATTCTAACTAAATTTTGGCAGCATAACGGCTTATTTTTCATATGATCTAAAAATCAAAACCTGTAAAAAAAACAACTTTAAAAGATTTTAACACACCATAGCTGCATGATGTGCCACCCAGAACAATCATCACAAACATATAAATACGATAATGAAGTCAAAAAAATAACTTTAGAATAATGACTTCGTTTTAATAAAGTGGAAAAAATAACTACTAACCTTCGTATTGCGATGCTGAGAGTACGATATCCGACCATGTAAGTTTGGATACTTTTGGTTGCTACAATTAGTTTTATTTGTCTATGATATTTTCTGTTTATGATT